TGATTTTCAAATCTCCACTTTCACTATTTTTATCGTATTTTTTGAAATTTTACCTATAAAATTTAAAAAATTTTTTCCAAACCCGAAAAAGGAAACCCCCTTTTAAAATATTTAAATTTGTTTAAATTTAAAAAAAAATCCAGCCACCTTAAATTTCCCTTTTGTCATGGGGATTACCAAAATAACAAGACATTTTGTTCACTAAACTTATAAAATAATATTCACTAAAAAGAAGGAAACAAAAAAGATAATTTGATTTTAAACCTTACAAAACAAAATTTTATTATTTTTTGGGTCAGTAAATATTTTATATTTTTTTTTCCAAAGGTTACTTTGAGTTAATTTGTATCTCCTCGTCCCTTGTAAGCAACAATTAATACTGTGTATTTTCGCACAAAGGTGTAATATACCTGTGAATATGAAAACTTCTCTCACTGTGTAAAATTCTGAAAATTTTTTAATTAAATTTTTTAAATACAGTGTAAATAACTTATCCAAAAAAATTTTTGACCACAAAAATTTTCAAATTAAAAAAAAGGGGAAATTTTATTTATTTTGGGGGCATTTTCTGTTTTTTGGATTTTTGATCTCCCCCTCCTATTACTTACATATTTTTGAATATAAAAATTAAATGACTTGTTTTATAATACTGCATGTTGTAAAAGTCGCTTTTCATTGGATAAACATAGTTTACATATTTTTGTAAATGGGGGGGGGCCAGTCAAATTTTGAAAAATCTCAGTTTTTTTCTTAAAAAAAAAATTGTATTGAATATATTTTAGTATAGTATTAATTATCTAGAATTGCTGTATTATAAATTCATTGTTAATATTTCTGCTGTATATAAACCGTTGTTTGCAATATAACCCTTGCCTGGCAGCTCTGAGCTTGGGTTATATTTCCAATAGGGCCATATAACCTATCAAAAATCTTTATAACTAATACTATACTATACTATACTATACATAAAACAGCAAAATTTCCCGAAGTACAAAAAAGGGTTACATTTTACAAAGTACAAAAAAGGGTTACATATTAGCCTAGCTTCACCCACCTGAGGTATTACAATATCTGCGAGAGCCTTAGAACACAGAAACAGTTCCTCCGCTCTGTCAAACTGTAATGTCTTCTGGTTATGCTGTAGGTCGTACTTTATACAGTCGTAAATATCGGGTATCTTGCTTATGTCATAGTTCTCCGTCTTCAGCTTAAAATCTTTCTCTAACTTGGCCCAGCGTCGGATCAATAATTCCCATGATTCCCCATGGTAAAGTTTCAGATCTGAAAGAAAAAATTATAGAAAGATGTATAGATGTTAGAACGTGTCAAAAGAATCTCTCTACAACCTTACGGAAGGCGGTGTGAAACAATACACAGAGGGTCACCAGCGGTCTTCCTCCATCAGTAATGCTGGAAAATCGCCATATAACCTTAACAGTGTAACCCTCTGCCACCATCCCCACTCCCCCTGCAAATACAGTCAACATGATTTCACCTGTCATCTTAAAGTAAAACAGGGACTCTGTGACTTAGGTCACTGACTCAGCAATTTCCTAATAACTGCCAGTTCAAATCCTTTCATAAACTTTAAAATCTTTCATGTGACAAAATACCCAGCTAGCTCACTGCTGAACATATAGTAGACTCCACTGAGATTTTTTTTTACATGACTGAACTGTATAATATTTTTTTACGAGAATTTTTTGACCATTTAATGTAGATCTGCACTAATAACTTGTATGTAAATTATCTGATAATTCACTCACATCATTCTTCAAGAATAATCATTTTTAATGCAAAAATGACCTAAAAAGGAAAAGACTTTAAAAAGCTTTCAACTCAAATTTTCTCTAAACAGCTATGAGTGCAGCAAAAATAATACAAGTATAACATTACATACCTCTAGTTTTTAGCTCCATCTTGAGGGTTTTTATTTTAGATGTGATCTCTTTCACCATGTCATGTACACGGTCACACATCCGTCTTGGATTCTTGATAAACGCCAGTGCCTTCACCAGTGACGTATTCTTTGTTGGAGCTAACTGTAAAAACAAAAATAACTTGAAAATAGTAAAATATGATTCCATTTTAGACCAATTCACTTGGAACATTGTGCAAAAAGAGACAAGCTTAAAAACTTAGATTCAGGTAATAGCAGTGATACAATCTATGCTACCATATCTACTTCATAGAAGTGACTTGAGAAGTATTCAACATTTTTTAAATTCATACAAAAGCACCGCATGTGGTATCAACTCTCATCTGCTAAAAATTCCAAATTATAAAGGAGCTTTCAATACTCCAAAAAAATTGCATTCAGAATTATGTCCCTTGTCTAACAACTGCACCTTGTCATGATCAGCAAGCATTTCACTTTGGTAACTTTTTTTAATGTTTGAATGATGGGCTACATTAAAGTTTTTGCATGGCGACGACAACAACTATGATAATGATGATGACAAGGTTGAAGACCCCGCAGCTATCATATAATAGCTTAACTTTTTCTTTGAAACAGCTAGACAAGCTTTAAAAAAAAGAAGTTAAATACAGTCCATCCAGGTCTCTGTATGAAATGGGAAGTTTATCTAGTTATCTCACAATAATTATATGGGATAAACTGACCCAATTGTTGGTAATTGTAGATATATTTTAAAATACTTCAAATTATGATGTAGTGTTATAAAAAATGTGGACTCAGAAAAAAAACAACAACAAAAAACCTTTTATTTCAACCTTCTAATTGTTTAAACAGTAGAAAGACAATATTTGAAAGAAAGACCCCCTCTCCCTACAAAAAACACCCCCACTTTTCAAACTTCTTACAGTTGAAACAGTAGATAGACAACATTTCGACCCCCCACCTCCCAAAAAACATCCCAACTTTTCAACCTTCTAACTGTTAAAACAGTAGAATGACAACTTTACCCTTTCCTCATCTTCTGACGTAAATTCTCTGTCTTGGTTCAAAATCTCCATTAACCTTTCCTTCACACTGTAATACAAGAGTAAAACAACAAAATAGAAACTATTTTGTTCAAGTAATAGGAAACATTAAAAGTTATGTACAATGAAATATATATTTTCCTTGAACTAACAACTGCAGGATAATTGCAACATGCAGTAAAGTTTTAAGAATCCTCTATCCCTTACAGCTGCATGCCTCAAGGTTTGTCTGAGTGACAAGAACCATTTGAGGACAGTACACTTATCATCTGAGGTGGGCACACTTATCATCTGAGGATATCACACTATCATATGAGGACAGCACAATTATTCTTGAGGACAACACTCTTATCATATGAGAACAGTACACTTTCATCTAATGACAGCACACTTATCCCTGAGGATAGCACAGTTATCCTCTGAGGACAGCACACTTATGCTCTGAGGACAACACACTTATCATATGAGGACAGTACACTTATCATATGAGGACAGCACAATTATCATCTGAGGACAGTACACTTATCATCTGAGGATATCACACTTATCCTCTGAGGACAACACACTTATCATCTGAGAACAGCACACTTATCCCCTAAGGACAGCACATTTATTATCCAAGGACATCACACTTATCCTCTGAGGACAACAAACTTTCATCTGAGGACAGCACACTTGTCCCTGAGGACAACACACTTATCCCCTGATTGCCTAAGTGACTTTCAACATGACCTTAAATCCTATTTATGAGTAGAGATTCATGGAAGATACCAACCATTGTCTCAATGACCTTGAACTTGACCCAGTTGACCTTAAACCCCATCTATGAATAGAGATTCATGGGAGGCACCAAAGATTGTTTAGAACTTGACCTAAGCCACCTGCAACCCTATCCAACCTTAGGATAGAGGTCTGTTGATAATACAAACTGGTCAAATTATGAAATACATACAGTATATGTTATTAATCAAGTAATATAAATTAATCCTCCCCTTAGTGCAAAAACAGGTTAACTTATATAAAAATTTAAGAATAATTAACCTGTTACAGCAATAACAGGACGAAATTATAATGCTTTGGGAAATGGTTATGGTGATCGTAAGTTAAGATGGTTGCTTAAAAACTGGCAACTGGCAACTGTATACTCCACAGATGGACACATTTGGGTACATACAAATTGTGTAAGGTGTTGTGAAATTAAAGATTGACAGTAAAACTGAACTTTTAGGTACTGGTGACAGTGAGGGTTATAAGGATGTTGTTCACTGTATTGCTGATAAAACTAAAATTAGTTGTGTGTGACAGTATTAACTAGAACTGCCACTATCATGGCGTGAATACCCCCGCATACCACTTTGTCAGAATCAACAGTGGCCATTTAGAGCTCAAGGACAACCTCCCTGCCAAATCTGAGGTTACTAAGCCAGTGCATTGCTAAGTTATGTATTCTACATGCTTCAAATGTGAAAATGTCAAAATCAATACATTGCGGACAGGACATTCTTTAACAATTGAGAAGAAAAGCTTTTTTTGTCAAGGTCCCTGTGACCTTGACCTTTGACCCAGTGACCTCAAAATCAATAGGGGTCACCTTATAGTCATGATCAACATCCATGCCAAATATGAAGACTGTGGGTCAAAGGAATCTTAAGTTAATGGGTGGACAAACTTTTTAAAGTCAAAGTCCCTATGACCTTGACCTTTGACCCAGTGACCTCAAAATCAAAAGGGGTCATCTACTAATCATGATCAACACCCATGCCAAATATGAAGACTGTGGGTCAAAGGAATCTAAAGTTATTGGGCAGACAAACTTTTTGAAGTCAAAGTCCCTGTGACCTTGACCTTTGACCTCAAAATCAATAGGGGTCATCTACTAATCATGACTAACCTCCATTTCAAATATGAAGACTGTGGGTCAAAGAAATCTTAAGTTATTAGGCGGACAAGCTTTTTGAAGTCAAGGCCCCTGTGACCTTGACTTTGACCTGGTGACCTCAAAATCAAGAGGGGTCATCTACTAATCATGACTAACCTCCATGCCAAATATCAAGACTGTGGGTCAAAGGAATCTTAAGTTATTGGGCGGACAAGCTTTTTGGAGTCAAGGCCCTTGTGACCTTGACCTTTGACCTCAAAATCAATAGGGGTCATCTACTGATCATGACTAACCTCCATGCCAAATATGAAGACTGTGGGTCAAAGGAATCTTAAGTTATTGGGCGGACAAGCGTTTTGAAGTCAAGGCCCCTGTGACCTTGACCTTTAACCTGGTGACCTCAAAATCAATAGGGGTCATCTACTAATCATGACTAACCTCCATTCCAAATATGACGACTGTAGGTCAAAGGAATCTTAAGTTATAGAGCGGACAAGCTTTTTGAAGTCAAGGCCCCTGTGACCTTGACCTTTGACCCAGTGACCTCAAAATCAATAGGGGTCATCTACTAATCATGACTAACCTCCATGCCAAATATGACGACTGTAGGTCAAAGGAATCTTAAGTTATTGGGCGGACAAGCTTTTTGAAGTCAAGGCCCCTGTGACCTTGACCTTTGACCTAGTGACCTCAAAATCAATAGGGGTCATCTACTAATCATGACTAACCTCCATGCCAAATATGAAGACTAAGGGTCAAAGGAATCTTAAGTTATTGGGCGGACAAGAAAAAACCGACGGACAGCCGGACGGACGGCCGGACGGACAAGCTGATTCCAGTATACCCCCCTTACAACTTTGTTGTGCGGGGGTATAACAAGGGTGTCTATATATAGACTTATTTCAACACAGATAGACATAAATTTTTAAATGTCAATATTGAAATTTTCACACTAAAGAAAAAATGTTCCTCTATTCATATAAAAAAAATATTCACCAAAAATATTCATCAAAAAGGTGAAGAGGACTATTTAATTAATTTAATAAATGAAATTGCAGAGACTCTTGATAATAAATTACCCAGTACAAAACATGCAGGAGGAGTCCAAGAGATCTCTGGGGGTTCAAGCCAGGAAAAAGCAATGAATTCTACAGTATGACCCCTGTAAATATCTTGCAAGTGTAATTTCTAAAAACATTACCATGATTACTGGTGTTAAATATTGAGATGTATCTTGCAGAGATTGTCACCTTAGTGAAATAACTGGCTAACTCCAGACTTAAACCGTTACTGCACTTGGGTGACGAGATAACATAAGCAGTGAAATTGATGCATTAAAGGACGATGCAGTGTTTTCTCTACGGAATATCTTCATCAAACCATCCTTGGTAACCCATGCTAACTTGTTACATATATACTTCATTTGATGCATTAAATGTACTTCAGTGGAGTCAGTACCTGTGGGTTTTGACGATGCATCAAACATTGGGCTGGTATACATTATACTTTTTTTCTTCCGGAATGTCTATGAAATAAATTCCCAAACTGGAATGACAGAGCTACATTAATGGAATCTAGGATCTATGGAAATTTGTAAAATGTCAAACTTGTTGAACTGTAATTTCAGGCCCAACACTAATATATGTACAGGAGACACAGTTTTAGAAAAGTTCAAATGGGGCATTAAAAATAGACCTTATATCATAAACTCAAATTTTATATAACAGTTTAATAACTTTGCTGAACTGTTCTGGCGAAGGAACCAGGCATAGAAAAGGTGAAAGATAAAAGCAGTTTTTATATGGTGCAAATGGATCATAAATGCTTTAATGTAATTGACATTACAAGTTTAATAGCTTGACTAAACCCTGTCTGGTAGATCAATAAACTTAGGCATATAGTCAAGGTCATAGATTTTCTTGAAGAGATGCGAAAGTCGCATATAGATACAAACATAAATTTTCTCAAAGAGATCCTAAAGTGCAAGTCGTGGTATGTCATCTTTTAATATGAAGAGCAGATGTAACATATGACACAGATACAGTCAGTGTTCAAAATTAGCAGAAGTCCGATAGCCCCCTGACTACTAAATTTCTCCTCTTTTCACAGTAACAAGCCCGACCAGGCTACAATATTTTCAGAGGCAATATAAACAACTGTTTTGAACAAATGAATCGTGCTAGTTAAATGTCTTTTGGGCTAGTGAATATTCCAATCTGGTAGTCCGACCAGCCTAGTGGATTCAAATCTGAATTTCTTACACTGTACAGTTCAGGCTAATTAGTGACAATAATTATTTCTTGCAAGTTTGTAACTTACTTGTGTTCAGGTAACCTGTATAAAAAACAAATTACCTTATTATATTCATACAGATTTACCAGATATACAGATTTCTTATTTTCATACACATTTTTTTTTTATAATGTAACACTTTTTTATATCTTTTTTTTATTGCTAGATCTAGTAATACACATTTTAAAACAAGATTGCATTTGAGAAAAATGCTATGCCACCGCATTAATACAACACTAAGCCTTCCTACAATAAGATTTTTTGAATTTTTTACTATATATATTTATTGAAAATCAATGACCCCCGGGGCAAAGGCAATTTTGACCCCAGGGCTATAATTTAAACAATCTTGCTAGAAGACCACATAATGTTTCATGCAAAATATCTAACCTCTAGCATTTGTCAATTACTAGAGGAATTTTTTTTAAAGTTTTTACTACATGTATAAGTTTTTACTATATACATATAAGGAAAACCAATGACCCCCGGGGCGGGGCCGATTCTGATCCCAGGGCTATAATTTGAATAATCTGGGTAGAGGTCAACCAGACAATGCCTTATGCAAAATATCTAAGCTCTAGGCCTTTTGGCTCTTTACAAGAAGGTATTTTAAGTTTTTGCTATATGTACATATAGTGAAAATCAATGACCCCCGGGGCGGGGCCGATTTTGACCCCAGGTCTATAATTTGAACAATCTTGGTAAGGGTCTACCAGACAATGCCTTATGCAAAATATCTAAGCTCTAGGCCTCTTGGGTCTTTACAAGAAGGTATTTTAAGGTTTTGCTATATGTACATATAGTGAAAATCAATGACCCCCGGGGCGGAGCCGATTTTGACCCCAGGGCTATAATTTGAACAATCTTGGTAGAGGTCTACCAGACAATGCCTTATGCAAAATATCTAAGCTCTAGGCCTTTTGGGTCTTTACAAGAAGATTTTTTAAATTTATTCTTATAATTCCTTTTGGTTGCCATGGCAACCAGATTTCTGTATGGAATGAAATTCTTTGAACAACTTTGGAAGCCCTTCACCCAAGGATCAATCCTGCCAAGTTTGGTTGAAATTGGACTAGTGGTTTTTCACAAGAAGATTTTTTAAGTTCACTATATAATCTATATAACACACACACACACACACACAAACAAACACACAGGTGAATCGCTATATGCCACCGCATCGCAGATGCTGCGGTGGCATAAAAAAACAAGAACCGGTTGAACCGGGTGATGCTCCCCGAGAAGGTTCTGGACACAGGAAAGTATAAAAAAAATGAACAAAGGGCAATAACTCCAAAATTAGACCAGGCTTTGTTTAGGTTCTTGAAGCGTTGCAGTTCTATCCAATTATATCTAGCTACCTACAAAGTTTCATGTTGATATCTCTAATAGTTTTAAAGTAATGTCCAGGACAAAAGTCAAAAAGTAAAAATAAACAAAGGGCAATTACTTCAAAATAAGGCAAGGCAGAGTAATGATTCTTAAGCACTGCACTTCCACCCAATGAGACCTATCTATCTACAAAGTTTCATGTTGATATCTCTTATAATTTTAGAGTAATGTCCCGGACAAAGTTCAAAGTGTCAAAATGAACAAAGGGCAATAACTACAAAAGTAGGCAAGACAGTGTTACAGTTCTTGAGCACTGCAAACTTACTCAATGAGATCTATCTACCTACAAAGTTTCATGTTGATATCTCTTATACATTAAGAAATATGTCCCGGACAAAGTTCAAAGTGTAAAAATAAACAAAGGGGGATAATTAAAAAATTAGGCAAGGCAGAGTTAAGGTTCTTGTTCACTGCACACCTACTCAATGAGATCTATCTACCTACAAAGTTTCATGTTGATACCTCTTATACTTTTAGAGTTATGTCCCGGACAAAGTTCAAAGTGTAAAATAAACAAAGGGGGATAATTCAATATTTAGACAAGGCAGAGTTACGGTTCTTGTGCACTGCACACCTACTCAATGAGATCTATCTACCTGCAAAGTTTCATGTTGATATCTCATATACTTTTAGAGTTATCACCCGGACAAAGTTCAAAGTGTAAAATAAACAAAGGGGGATAATTCAAAAATTAGGCAAGGCAGAGTTACGGTTCTTGTGCACTGCACTTCTACTCAATGAGATCTATCTACCTACAAAGTTTCATGTTGATACCTCTTATACTTTTAGAGTTATGTCCCGGACAAATTTCAAAGTGTAAAATAAACAAAGGGGGGTAATTCAAAAATTAGGCAAGGCAGAGTTACGGTTCTTGTGCACTGCACACCTACTCAATGAGATCTATCTACCTACAAAGGTTCATGTTGATACCTCTTATACTTTTAGAGTTATGTCCCGGACAAAGTTCAAAGTGTAAAATAAACAAAGGGGGATAATTCAAAAATTAGGCAAGGCAGAGTTATGGTTCTTGTGCACTGCACTTCTACTCAATGAGATCTATCTACCTACAAAGTTTCATGTTGATACCTCTTATACTTTTAGAGTTATGTCCCGGACAAAGTTCAAAGTGTAAAATAAACAAAGGGGGGTAATTCAAAAATTAGGCAAGGCAGAGTTACGGTTCTTGTGCACTGCACTTCTACTCAATGAGATCTATCTACCTACAAAGTTTCATGTTGATACCTCTTATACTTTTAGAGTTATGTCCCGGACAAAGTTCAAAGTGTAAAAATAAACAAAGGGGAATAATTCAAAAATTAGGCAAGGCAGAGTTACGGTTCTTGTGCACTGCACTTCTACTCAATGAGATCTATCTACCTACAAAGTTTCATGTTGATACCTCTTGTTGTTTCAAAGTTATGTCCCGGACAAGAAAAGGGGACGGACGGACGGACGGACGGACGGACGGAAAGACGGACGGACGGACGGACGGACAAGGCGGCGACTATATGCTCCCCCGAAATTTTTTCGGGGAGCATAATTATGCCCAGTTTTACACATATTTATATTTCTGTATCTAAAAAACATATTTTTAAAAAAAAATTCTATGCCAAACATTACACAGGTTTTATTTATAAATCTAGCATGACACTTTTTTTTTCTTTTATCTAGCACAACACTTTTTTTAAAAATTTCTATATCTAGTATAACACATTTTTTTTCTACAACTAGTATTTTACATAAAATTTATTTTAATATTTAGCATTACAATTTTTTTTTTATATTCATATCATTACACATATTCTAAAAAAATATTATCTTGCACTACACATTTTTTTAATTTCTTATATCAATCTAGAATTACACTTTTTTATTTCTATTTCCAGCATTAAACAGTATTTTTTCCATGTTTAGCATTACACATATTTTTTTCCATATCACTAGACGTATTCTTTATTCATTTTTATCTAGCATAACTTAGTTTTTATTTTATTTCTTATATCTAGCATTACACCATTTTTTTTATTTATTTCTTTATCTAGCATTACAGATTTTTCTATCTTTTTCTAACAACATACTTTTTTTATTTCTATATCTAGCATTATACATTTTATTTTTCTAGCTGATGAGGGAAATACCAGCACTTAATAGTAAACAAATATTTTAAGTTTGAAGGAATATATCTGATGGTTTTTCAAGCAATTTATGAAGATATTGGAATAGGGGGATAATCAAAAGTTTTAAGTGAATAGCTTTAACAGTTTCTGAGAAAATGGAACTTTAACTTTTACTTACTGCGTGTCCTAGTAACCTTGACCTTTAAACTTTTGACCCAAAATGAGCTTGACAGGTAAAACTCATTCATTGTGTTTTCTTACTACAGTTACCTTTGACTTAAACCTTTTACATTTTAACCTTTAAATTCCCAGGACAACCTAAAATATGCTTGACAATTAAATCTCATCAAGATGCATCTATATACAAATTTTGAAGTTCCTAGGTAAATGCACTTTGCTTTTATGAACATTTGAATTTTAGTACAGACCCTAGAGACCTTGACCTCTGACCTTATGACCTGAAAATTGATGTGGCAGGTAGAACTTTAGGTGGTTATACATTCATAGGTTTATGTACTTTGCTTTCATAACCAATTGTATTAAATTTTCTTTTACAGGTCCCAGGGACCTTGACCTTTGACCTTACGGTGGGCGTGGCTGGAAAAAAGTCATCAAAGTGCATTAACATGTAAATATTCAATAAAATAGTTTTATAAGTATCGAAGTTAAACTTAAACATAACCAAAAAGATTAACTACAGCCAATGCTTACGGTTGGGACAACATATGACACGCTCTTCAAAACTGGAGCTAAAAATCTAAACTAATTTATTTGCCAGAAAGAGTAAGACTATCTTTTACTTACACATGTTGATATTTTGATGTTTCCCCTTCCTTGTCCAATAGACCATTAGTGTTGGCACTCTTCACCATGGAAACAAGAATAGGTGTCAACTCTCCTTCTAAAGCCAATAATCCCTGGAAAATTAAAGACTTTTAAAACAATTTTTCAAGTATAAACTTCATTTAAGCTTTCTATATTTTGTTTTATCTTATTGTTTTTATTTGGTCAAGTTGTTATGTCATATTGGCACTGTTCAAGGTCATACTTTTATGCTTTCCTGACAGACACATGCACAAACTCACATAAGCTAAAGGTTTATATCCTTAATGCACTACAATAATGTCTGTCATGAATTACAATATTGTCTGTCATGAACTAAAATGAACAATAATGTTTGTCATGAATTATAATAATGTTCATCATGAACTACAATGACGTATGAATTACAAAAATGCCTGTCATGAATTAAAATAATAACCATCATGACTATGAACAGTCATGTTTGTCATGAACTGCAATAATGTGTGTCATGAACTACAAATATGTCTACATGAACTACAAATATGTCCGTCATGAACTACAAATATGTCTGTCATGAACTACAGTCATGGTTGTCATACACTACAATAATGTCTGTCATTAACTACAAATGTCTGTCATGAACTACAATTATGTCTGTCATGATCTACAATAATGTCTGATATGAACAACAATATGTTTGTCATGAATTATAATAATTTTTGTCATGAACTACAATAATGTCTGTCATGAACTACAATAATGTCTGTCATGAACTACAATAATGTCTGTCATGAACTACAATAATGGCTGTCATGAACTACAATATAATCTGTCATGAACTACAATAATGGCTGTCATGAACTACAATACTGTCCATCATGAACTACAATAATGTCTGTCGTCTGTCATGAACTACAATTATATCCATCATGAACTACAATAATATCTGTCATGAACTTCAATAATATATGTAATGACCTACAATAATGTCCATCATGAATTACAATAATACCTGTCATGAACTACAATTACATCCATCATGAACTACAATAATATATGTCATGAACTACAATAATATCTGTCATGAACTTCAATTATGTCCATCATGAACTTCAATAATATCTGTCATGAACTACAATAATATCTGTCATGAACTACAATAATGTCTGTCATGAACCACAAAAGCAATGTTGTCAGGTTACAAACCTTTGTAAACGCAGCAGCTGTCATTTGAACTCTTCCTTCATCAGAGGCATAAATCTTCAGATCATGTCGGAATGTACTATGCAGCCTTAGAAAACCAAGCCCTGGGGTCTCAAACTCACCTGAAAATATACAAGAATTCCTACTATATTTCAAGAGAGAAAATAAGTAAACATTACGAATAATAAATATTTGAACATACATGTACCATTTTAAATGTATATTCTTTGGTTATAATCTATAAGTGTTAAACAAGATCATCATTACATCAGTTAAAATATAACAGCACTACTGCCAGGTTTTTTTCACATAGTAGAAAAAGCTATAAAAGGTCTTTGGTAGGAGTGTGACATGAAATAGATAGGATATCGATTGATTGATATCAAAGATTAAGTACATTATCTTCATGTCTAATTATAACCAATCCAGCATGATAGTTTCAGATACTATTACAGCATATATAGCCATCAAAAATGTTTTCAGTCATTCAAGACTTTAAGTACCATATATTCACTGCAGCCCTGCAGATGATGGATTCATTAGATTGGCGACAATGTTGGGATTGACACATAAATATAAACAACAAATTAAATGTTTACAATCAAGTTTCTAACTAACTAAATTTTCTCTGAAAACATTTTTACATCCTTACATAATACCTTTCATTACCTAATTTTCTGATATTTTTTATTTTATTACAGATAACCAAGTCAAACAGGGTGAAAATTCTAACATATGCGACATCTAAGGGAGGTAATAACAATAAAAAACTCCACTGAATACTGTCCCTTGAATTGGAAAATTTTCTCTTTCCTCCTCATTGCCAAAAAATATATCAATTAAGTTAACAAACTGAATAAATGGAGGATATTGAATGAGTGTAAGTTCAATACTGAAATTATTGAATGAGTTTAATAGAATTATTTTGCATTTTTTTATTTTTTGTTGGAGATGAATGTAATTGAATTAACAGCATGTACTATTAAAACATGTTTAAAATGAAAAATACTACAGTTTACATGGTTTTGAGAGGTAGGAGGGTTGTAAAGTGAAAAGGAGTCTTTTTCAATTGACACGCCTACCCTACAATGCTAAATTTGAGCACATTTTTACACAATGTTTGTATATCACAAATTACATCACTACGAAAGTGTCCTGGTGCCAATTTAACATGTTCTATAACAAGGGTGCCATAGTCACAAAATAAGCCCGTTTACGAAAGCTTTAGATGGAGATGGGGGCATTATGGATAAGTGTTATCTAGCAAGCAAGTTTTTATCCTTGGCACTGTGTTGTTAAATGAACCTTAAAACAAATCAGTAGGGAAGATATGCACAGGATGTGTGACCTTGACCTTGGTCGCAGGGACCTGAATTTTATGCACGGCACTCAGCCTCACAATGATGAACATTTGTGCCAAATTATATTGAAATCCCTCTATGCATGTAGAAGTTTTGCTCCAGACAAGCGTTTTTCTATGAGCTCTAACTGTGACCTTCACCTTTGACCTAGAGACTTGGTTCATGTGCAGGGCACTACGTCTCATGGTGGTGAACAATTCTATAAAGTAACATTAAAATTCCTCCATGCATGTAGAAAATATGCTCCGGACAACATCTGGATATTTAATCATCTCCAGTGACCTTGACCTTGCAAATATTAACCTAAATTAAATGTGTCACACCTGTAGTCATGATAGTTACCATTTGTGCTACAATCCATCAATAAATGATGACTAAATGGTCCCTATAACCATCTTCAAATTTTTATCTGAACTTTGACCTCTATGTGTAACCTTGACTTTGGTCGCAGGGATCTGAATTTTGCATGCGACACTCAGCCTCACAATGGTGAACATTTGTGCCAAGTTATATTGAAATCCCCCTATGAATGTAGAAGTTTTGCTCCGGACAAGCGTTTTTCAATGAGCTCTAAGTGTGAACTTGACCTTTGACCTGGAGACAAGGATCATGCATGGAGCAATACATATCATGGTGGTGAACATTTCCATAAAGTATTATAAAAATTCTTCCATACATGTAGGAGATATGCTCCGGACAAAATCTGGATATTTCATCATCTTTAGTGACCTTGACCTTGTATATATTGACCTAAATTATATGTATCACAGCCATAGTCTTGATAATGACCATTTGTGTTACAATCCCTCAATAAATGATGACTAAATGGTCCATATACACATCTTCATATTTTTATCTGAACTTTGACCTCTATGTGTGACCTTGACCTTGGCCGCAAGGACCTGAATCTTGCACGCGACACTCCGCCTCACAATGGTGAACATTTGTGCCAAGTAATATTGAAATCCCTCTATACATGTGGAAGTTTTGCTCCGGACAAGCATTTTTCAATGAGCTCTAAGTGTGACCTTGACCTTTGACCTAGAGACCTGGTTCATGTGCGCGACACTGCTCCTCATAGTGGTGAACATTTCTATGAAGTTTCATTAAAATCCCTCCATACATGTAGGAGATAAGCTCCGGACAAAATTGGACGCCGCCCGCCCGCCCGCCCGCCAGGGGCGTTCCCATAATATGTCCCGTTTTTCAAACGGGCGTATAAAAAAAGATAACTCCTACGTAGGAGATAAAAATGCCTAATTAGGAGTTTATAACTCCTATGTAGAACCTACGTAGGACTTATAAAGTCTTATGTCGGAGTAATAACCTCCTAATAAGGCTTTTTTATCTCCTACGTAGGAGTTATGTTTTTTTATAGAACATGTTAAATTGGCACCAGGACGCTTCTGTAGTGATGTAATTTGTGATATACAAACATTGTGTAAAAATGTGCTCAAAGTTAGCATTATACAGTAGGCGTGTCAATGGAAAAAGATCACATCATAATACATGCACAGTCGTGCAATACTGTTTAAACAGAGTCACAAAAGTTGAACGGATATGTGAAAAATGAAGTTATAATGGCAAAGTGTTATGCATGTATTTTTTAACACTGGTCACATACTTCTGTTTGCATTTTAATCATTTCTAGACATTTGATTTAAAACTGACAAAAGTAATTGATTCTTTGAATGTGTATTAAAGCCACTGGCCTCCAGATGGTAAAATGAAAACAAAGAAATAAAATTTCAAGTAAATGGTAAATACTGATCTGTGTGAATTCATTATATTACTGACATCTTAATTGGAGAAAGAATGTTGACACTCAGTGTCAATATATCGTGTTTTTCCTTTACTTGATCTACTATGTTACTAACGCAGTAGTCAATACAGATAGGAGAAGATAATTCAGTTAACATGGTCACGTGTCACAAAAGTGGTCCGAAATTTTTTTTCTATTTTTAGCTCCTGTGACCTAGTTTTTGACCGAAGATAACCCATCTTCAAACTTGACCTTATCATTATCAAAACAACCTTCCTGACAAATTTCCAGAATATTTGGACCAAAACTGAAGCCACCAAAGTGTTAGCAAGATTTTTCTATTTATAGCTCCTGTGACTTAGTTTTTGACCGTAGATGTCCCATATTCGAACTTGACCTAGAAATCATTAAAACAACCTTCCTGACAAGAAAATTTTGGACTATTGAGAGCTAAAAATTGGCCCAAGGTCGATCGTAAGGTAATGTGTAACCAACTCTGAAAAGCCTTTGCCTTTGAGAAGTTGCATCACTTTATAAATCAAAGTGCTGCAGCACTGAATGCGACGGACATGCAACCGGAGAGACATTAATTAAGGCTTCTTTTAGAAAAAACAAAACAAAACAAAAACAAAACACAAAATATATAACAGAGAAAATTTGTTCCATACAAGTTCGATATTTGTAGAGCAATATATTTTGTGTCCTAAATTGATATAATTCAGATTTTCTACTTTCAAGCACTTAAATACAGAATGAAATTTATGCCTAAAAACTCTGGTCAAACTTGTAAATCAGTGTCCTTATCGATTTATTCTAAGAAATGATATGTAAATAGAAAAAAAACTATCAACGAAATATTTCTAGAATAAATCCAGGCAAATAAACTTCAAACATAATACATTATACATTTGAGAATGCTATTTAGAATTGCTTCGTGTTATATCATAGTGGGCATACAGACAATAAAATATAAGTCATTTGTATTTTTATTTCTCTTGGATATGTCTCATTAAAAAAAATTGGTTAAAATCATCAGCAATTAATAGTGTATTTCTTACATTTTTTTTATTTACAAGGTAAAGATGTAGAGGCCAGAGCACATCGTTTTTATTTTAATTTAAATGTCACTTAAGCACTACAGTGTTTAGTTGTCCTTTTCAACTTCACACTTAAAATTCCATTTTCAACTTGTTTGCTTCTTACAATTGTATAGCATTTCTAAAAGTATTGCATTACAATCCGCTGGTTTATTAATTACATGTTTAATGTGTACTTCCTAATCGCCTGTCCAAAAATCAGAACAGGTGAAGCAGAATCTATTTTTAGAATAGCGAAGGTTAACTCATATCATGACCTAGTAAAATATGTAAACAAACCACAAGAATCGGAAGTAGAAATGATATTATAACTTCCTTACCATGAAAGACTACATGGCGGTAAAGTGTCTTACATGCATTTTCAAAAATAGATATTCATACTAGCCATTGTACTGTATCTAATATATTAATAACTGCTGAATATTCAGCTAAACCCGCGGTATGAGTCACGAAAATAGTTCTTCTTTTATTAATGCGCGAGTTATCCTAGAGTCACGAAAAACTTTTGATTTGTTAATAATAATGTTTTGTATAATGTAGAAATATTTATTTCCTACTAATAATGTCTTGGAACTCAGAGGTTACACCTTTATTGAAGTATAATTTGCTGTCCTACTTTTTCGACAGCGGTAAATCGTTTCAGCAGTAATTTGCATATTGCGCAATAATACTACGGGACTACAACGTTTTTATCAATAATATACGTTCATATTTTAACTTGGATAACTTAATTTGAAATTGAAAAGGCTAAATATGGAAGACATTAAGATATCCAGATAAAGTATGGGAGTTTTGAAGGATCAAATTCATGTACTATTTCTTGGGCTGTTAATTGGTTTAGGACACATTGCGCGAGTGTAGCCAACGAAATCCCATGTGTAGATGACTAAGCTCTGAACGCG